TTCAGCACTCTTTTTGGGCCATTGACCCTGCGTCCAGCCCCACTGTTTGGCCTGGGCGCACCTGCCAACCCCACCAGTGTAACAACAGACTGGCACATGTTGCTTCTGTAAAGTGACAGCCTTCGGATATTTAGTGGCTTTTCAGATATGCATACCCTTAATGGCCTGGGTAGTCTCATGAGTGTTCTTAAAGTGAACAGGAAGATCTGAATCTCTTGATTGGCATGATTTTATGGGGTTTTCTGGGTCAGGTGAATAGTGAACCACTTTTAGAGGTGACCTCAGGCCGCTTACCAGAAAAGGAAGAACCCGCCCCAGATTTATGAGGGTAGTTCCCTCAGGAGACAGAAGGATGGAATGACGCTGGGGCTGAGGGAAGGCGCACAGAACGAAAAATCATCTATGATGTTTTGTTTCTTAAAAACAAAACAAACAAGAAAACCTGAGGCAAAGGGACTAAAATGTTGTGATTTTCCTCATTCTGGGTGGTAAGTATAGAGATACTTGTTACACTTGTCCTCTATGATGCCCTTGACATATTTTTTAAATTTTTATCTTATTGAGTTATAGTCAGTTTACAATGTTGTGTCAATTTCCAGTGTAGAGCACAATTTTTCAGTTATACGTGAACATACATATATTCATTGTCACATTCTTTTTTACCGTGAGCTACCACAAGATCTTGTATACATTTCCCTGTGCTATACAATATAATCTTGTTTATCTATTCTATACATACCTGTCAGTATCTACAAATTTCGAACTCCCAGCCTGTCCCTTCCCACCCCCTTCCCCCGGCAACCACAGGTTTGTATTCGGTGTCTGTGAGTCTGTTTCTGTTTTGTATTTATGTTCATGTGTCTTTTTCTTTTCTTTCTTTCTTTCTTTTTTTTTCAGTTTCCACATATGAGCGATCTCATATGGTATTTTCTTTTCTCTTTCTGGCTTACTTCACTTAGAATGACATTCTGCAGGGACATCCACGTCACTGCAAATGGCGTTATGTTGTCACTTTTTATGGCTAAATACTATTCCATTGTATAAATATACCACATCTTCTTTGCCCTGATGTATTTTTTTGATTTAAATTTTAAGTAACTATTACAATTGGGGGAATAAAAATGTCAAAACTGCCATTTTTTTTAAAAAATAGAGGAAACTGAATTTTCAACAACAGGGACCACCTCATTCAGTCCACAAGAGGGTGTGGGTCCTAAAACCTAGAAGCCCCACAGAAGACAGAGTGTGTATCCGCTGTGAGCTCACGGGGCCCCAAGGGAGCTCAGATGAAGATTTGCTGCTGGAACCCTCCAGGCTGTGGCCACACTGGGTTCAGATGCACAGGGTCTTCTCAAGAGTCCATTTCAACTGAGAAAGGGATTCACACACAAGCTGACCTGGCATCCCAGAAGCCCAGGACCCTGCTGTTTTAGCCTGTCCAAGAGGTCTTCTGCCCCTGGCCCTCTGCAGGGCAATAGTAATGATAGTGTCCACTGAGCTGAAGCCAGTACATTCAACGACAGCCAGGTGACTTCTCTAACTCTGGATTTCATGCAGAAATAATCACAGCCACAGAATTAGCTCAGAATTACCAAATCCAGACCACGGAAGAACAATGGCTAGGAAACTGGAGTGTCAACCCAGCAGGTGCTGTGACTCTGGCAATGTGTGGTGACAGAGTCCAAGTCACCCGAAGGTCCTATGGGAGAGGAGTGGCCCAGAAGTTCACAAGAACAAGAAAGAAGACTGCTCTGTCCAGAATCCAGTCGGGAGAGGTGTCCACGCATGCTCAGCACATGGGAGACCTCAGGTGCTGTGACAGGACCCCAGGTTCCTGTTTCCACCTGGGATTCACAATTCTGCCCTCAGCTGAGCAATCCGTGATGTCAGAAGACACAGCAGGAGCAGGGGTCAGCAGCCCTGTAAAAGGCCTCTAGCTGGACCTCCGTTCTCAGCTTGGGTCAAGACCACACAAAAAATTCAAAGTCCTGCCCAGCCAAGCACCAGAAGCCACACACTCTTCACCGGTACACAGGCTAGGTAGAACAGCTTTTGCATTTGTAGGGAATAAGAGATGAACACATTCAGCCAGCCTCAGTCTTTGGCATCTTCCAATTTTCTTTTTTAAAAAAATTAAAGACTATCATTTTTGTGAGAGGCAGCAGCTCCCAGTCAGACTGACCCTGAAACAACCAGCCACCCCAAATTCACTGCCCACCACAGCTGTAGGCCCTTCGCTCCCAGCTGCTGTCTGGGCTCCCCTGCGGCTGTCCCCCAGACCTGTGAGTGAGCAAAGGGACAGGACTCGCTCTCTGCTTCCTCTGGAAGGAAGGGTGAGCCCAGGTTGTGTCCAGGTGAAAGCTGGACCCTCGTCACCCGGAGAAGACCGGGACTCACCATGGTAGCAGTGAAGGGGATGTTGTCAATCAGGGACGATGCGATGGCCGAGACCCAGACCACCAAGATGATGGCAGCTGCGAGGCGCTGATCTTCTGGGACCATCTGGAAGGAGCAGGTAAGAGCAGGGCTGTGTATCCTAGCGCATTGCTAGATCCCACACACTGACAGTCTGATGCTAGAACGGGTGAGGCTCGGAAGGGACTTGGGGTTGTCGGTCCTTCCTCTTCCACATAAGGCAGAGCCAGGTATGCAAACAGGACCAGCCTGGGCTTTCCCAACCCCTATCAGGAGCCTGGGCCAGGGTCTGCACGTCACTGAGAGGAGCAAACCCCAGCCATGCTCCGGCCAGCCGGCTCCTGGGAGGGAGCAGGCAGAGGGGTGGCCCTGTTCCTGATGGGACACCAGGTGACACACTGGTCACACTGACCTCAGCTCCTGCCAGAGCGCCAGGGCTGGGACCTCTGTGCATCACTTACTGAGACTGCTCTCCATTGCTCTCCTTCCTAGAAAGGTTCTAACTAAAAGCTAATAGTAAAATTGCAGGCTTCCCCAATTATACATTCTTTGAGAAAAGTCTCCTTTCATCTCTAGG